ACAAAGGCTCTTTTAAGAGCCACTCACTTACAACTAAAGAGAGAAATTATTCATTTAGTGACGACTCATTGAGGTGGTCGATATAGTGTTAACCTAAATCGTATGTTGAGCGATGAACGTGTAAAGTAAATAGTCGTATAAATTCAGAATTGGACAATATGAAGGAGTTATCGTAACCGGAAATGCAGCTTGGCAACGCGATCCTGCAAAGAAGACTGTCCGACTTCAACTACGTCCGCAAAAGCCTTTAAATACCAACTCTCTCCGCTCATCAGTTTATCTTCGATTGAACTCGGAGTCTGACAAGGAAAGGAGATAATCCATCAGTACTTCAGTAATAACTCCTAGATGTATCCTGACCGGTGTGGGGAACCTTGAAGCAGCCAGGATCAGAGCCCGCACGCACATTGTAGAGACACAACGTCACTACAATGACGACACAACGGATAATCGCATCTCTTAAATAGTTGAATTATCGTTAATGTCACTATAGTCTTCACATCCGGTTATCTGTCTAATGCAGGTAACAGAAACCTGGAAAACATCAAATATTTTTCTATCAAGTTTAACTCTGAAGGAATCAAACAGTCTCACGTGTCAATATGAGTTGTACTTTAATAGTTTATATTATCGGTTAATATTTTACCTCTAAAAACTACATCCTTTGTGCTGAATCATGTAAATTACATTAGTCATTTAGCTGAAGCTATCACATTTGTACACCGTAGGTACAGCTACGGGAGACATTGGGGTTCAGTGTCTCGCTCTAGTCACATAGTGGAACCGGGGAGAAATGTTTTATCTTTAAAGTATTTTTTTTTTTTTTTTTCTACTAGAATAATGTTGACATTTATTTTTGTTATTGCCTGAATAAACATTCTCTCTGAAATGAGTTTTTATACATTTTAACAAATGATTAAATATATCTCAATAAATTAACATTTAGATACTGGATTTTATGAAACAAATTATTAATGTATTTAATAAATACATATATAATATTTTTAGAAATATAACAAAAATACAACTTTACTTTAAATTACTATGGAAGCCTATTTCCATCAGTAAAGAAAGCTGTGATAATATCCCCGTGATCAATAATTTTTATCTCATAATTATGACTGAACATTAGGATATTATTACTATCACGGCTACGATTTCATCTTTTATTTTACTTACAGAAACGGTCTTCCATAAACTACAGATCATTTCAATAATTGAAATATATAAACATGATGTAAACTTCACATCAGTCAGAGGCCGTTTTCTCACCACTGGTGTTTGAGTTCCTTTAGTCCAATCGCAGCTCAGCTCCAGCAAACGTGTCTCCCCGTGTGGACCAATCAGCGCCGCTCTGACTCCGGCAGCTCCTTTATAAAGCCGCTGTTCCCGCTCACACAGCATTCCGTCTTGATCTGTGAACACAGAATAGACTGACGAACTATAATGGCCAGAACCAAGCAGACCGCCCGTAAATCCACCGGAGGAAAAGCTCCCAGGAAGCAGCTGGCGACCAAAGCTGCCCGTAAGAGCGCCCCGGCCACCGGCGGAGTGAAGAAGCCCCACCGTTACAGGCCCGGTACCGTGGCTCTGAGGGAGATCCGTCGCTACCAGAAGTCCACCGAGCTGCTGATCCGCAAGCTGCCCTTCCAGCGCCTGGTGAGGGAGATCGCTCAGGACTTCAAGACCGACCTGCGCTTCCAGAGCTCCGCCGTCATGGCTCTGCAGGAGTCCAGCGAGGCTTACCTGGTCGGTCTGTTCGAGGACACC